GGACATGGCAGGGAAGTCTGTATGCAACGGGAACCTTAACTGTTAACTTGGATCAGAAATAACAGAGGAGCTCCACCTTCCCACTAGTCCTCAGAAGGCACAGGTATGGAGAGGGGCCTCACCCCATGGATGGACAGACTAGCCTAGCAGGTCCAGCTGGCCCATGGGCCACAGGTTCTCCACTCCAATTACCTGAAGACACAATACCTTCTCCAATACCCAAAGGTGCATTCCCAATAGGATGCTTGTTGAAAGAGCTACAGCCATCTGTGAAAAGGTATTTCCCTAGAAAGAAGCCTAGCACAAAGATTCCCTTGGGTTATTCAATGGAGCCCTCCTTTGTTCCCTGCCCATCTCTACCTCACGCTCCATTTTAAGCAAAGCATTTCCAAAGGACTCCTCACTGGGCCCTTCTCTTCATCACCAGCCACAACTCCCATTGATTTCCAACTGGTTAAGAAAGGAAGACAGGGATAAACAGGCTTCACAGTGGAGGAAAGTAAGCGGTGGTAACCTGCAAATTTCTGCATTGGGCCAATGCAATTTAATATTAAGACATTATGGGCATCTAACCCTAGTTTAGAACATAGTATTATATCTGTAGAGACCTTTAGCTATCATCACTCCTCTACAGAACTCTGGGAATTACAGGAGAGCTCAACAATGCAGCAACATCTGAAACTTTCATTTCCAACTTTAACTGGGGAAACGCATCACAATTAAGATTGGGCAGTTCTTAGGTTTTGTGTGGTGCTTCTGTTTTGTAGATATAGCCTCAGACAATTAGCAAGCACACTTAAAAACCCTCCAGACATCAGTAATGCCTTGTCAACAATTCTGTTTTATTAGAAACAATCATTGCTTAAAATGGTGCTTCATAGTTAACATATATAAAGATCTACTTTTCAGTTTAATGGAACAGTGGTCAATATATTTCAATCCTTGTCATGATTTAATGATTACAAGGCTTCTTTTGCAGTAATAGAGCAGCCTGAAATACACAGCCAGGTATGCTATTAAGGGAAAGCAATATAAATAAATCTTCAGTGCATTCCTAAATGAGGAATTATTCCTTTACAGTAAACCATGCAAGAAATCTATTTCGCAATGTCAAGTAGCTACTTTAAGATATAAATCTGAAGACAGAACATTCATGCAGATCCAAAATATCAATTAGGAAAGATTAAGCTTTAGTTCTGTTACTTGATGTAAGCAATTTAGAGAATTTTTTTTTCATTTTTAGTAGATATCCAGCAATAATACTGCTGCTCTTCCAATATAGCTGCAGCATTGTGAATAGTGTTTACAATCTAAAATATAGATTTCAATGCATAATTAATTGGAGTTGTTGAACTTGTCTTCTATTTGCTATCAATAAAGATATCCCGTTCACTTTGCTCACTTGATTTTTATTACAAAAAGGCATCAGATGCAAGAGAAACTAAAGCTCTTCCTTGCAAAGCCAAAGAAAGCCATTCAGTACTGTTGCTCTAAAACAAGGGGCAACATTCACTTTGTGTATATATATATCTCTTCAGGCGTCAGCCAACTTTCAAGGAATAACTGAGACTAGGAAGACCAAAAATAGTAGCTGATGTTGCTCAATGGCATGATTAAAGGTGTGAGTTAATTACCAACCACATGGGTATCAATTCACAGGGGAGCTCCTTCTATACCATCGAAAAATGCTGGGAACAGAATCATAACAGTGTTGGGAAGGGCAAGAAGGCCACTGGGTACAACCCCCTGCTCAGTGCAAGACACCAAGTTCAGCCATCTTTCTCAGATGGCTATCCAGCTGCATCTTGAAGGCCTCTAGTGTGGGAGAGCCCACAACCTCCCTAGGTTCCTGGGTTCCACTGTTGTACAGTCAGGGAATTTTTCTTGATATTTGGCTGAAATCTGGCTTCCTGTAACTTCAGCCTGTTATTCTGTGTCCTACACTCTGGAATGATTGAGAAGAGATCCTGCCCTACTACTTTGTGACAGCCTTTCACGCACTCGTAGAGTGCTATCATCTCTCTCCTCAGTCTTTTCTAAACATGCCCAGTTCTGTCAGTCCCTCCTCACAGGGCTTTGTCTCCGGTCCAAGCTCATCCTGGTCAACCTCCTCTGAACTCTTTCCAGTTTGTCTGCATCTTTCTTAAAATTTGATGCCCAGAACTGAACACAGATGACCCCCCAACTAGTACTGAATGTAGGGGAACTAGTACTTCACATGCTTCGGAAGTGATACTTCTATTAATGCAGCCTAGAAGAGCATTTGACCTTTTGCAGCAGCATCACATTTGACTCATATTCAGCTTGCGATCAACAATACCAAGATTCTTCTCTTTTGCAGTATAGTTGAGCCAAGTATCCCCCACCTTGTCAACAATAGATTTGGTTTCTTTTTCCCAGGTGCAGAACTTGGCATTTATCCTGGCTGAATTTCATTCTGTGGCTTTCAGCCCCACACTCAAGTTTATCAAGGTCGCCCCGGATCTTCATTCTGTCTTCGAGGGCGTTCACTATTCCACTCAGTTTTGTATCATCCGGCAAATTGGATTATCATTCATCCAACTCATTAACAACGATGTTGAACAGCACCGTGTCCAGGACTGAACCACTCATTACCCCACTTGTGACCTCTCTCCAGTTTGAGAAGGTGCCATGGATGAACCCGGAGTCCGATTCCATAGTCAAGTGTGGATCCACCTGAGAGTTGTTCCACCTAGCCAGCTTGCTGATCAAAATATGATGGGGCACTTTGTCAAAAGCTTTGCTGAACTCAAGGTATGTTATGTCCACACCATTCCCACAGTCTACCAGGGAGGTAATCCATCAAAAAAATGATATCAGATTAGTCTGGCAGGATTTGTTCTTGAGGAATCCATGTTGGCTTCTAGCAATCACTGCATTGCTCTCAAGGTGTTTGCAGACTGGCTGCTTTATAATCTGCTATAGAATTTTCCCACGGACTGATGTCAGACTGACTGGTCTGTAATTCACAGGTAGTTCGTCTTCTTTGTCTTTTCCTTTCTTCAAGATAAGGACAACATTAGGCCTTCTCTCCAGTCATCTGGAGAAGTAGTTTTGTGGCGGTGGTTAGAGATTTCCCCTACCAAATAACAAGTCCCAGGATTCTTTAGCAGCTGAACTAGTATGGAAAAAGTTGTACCGTTACATCATATTACTGCCCTGCCTCTGTATCTTGTATAATCATTGTTATATAGCAACTCTCCCCAGTTCCAGTATTAAGGGAAGAACAATAAAGAGTCTGGTGGCACCTTAAAAACTAGCAAACTTGATCTGGCATAGCTCTCATGAAATACAGGTAAAGATGGTGATTATTTTTACTGCAAGACTAGCACTGCAACTCAGAAAAATATTAAATACATGTCCCACCTTCACTTTATAAAAAAATACAGTACAGATCAATGGGACACCCAACTGTTTTGCTTTTCATGTATAATAATCACAGTCCATTTCGTTCAGAGTTCGGGGAGACAATAGCTGTAGCTCAGCATTAAAGCAGGAGTGCCTATATCTAGAACACAAGATGGGAAAGTCCACAGGAAATTCAAGGAACCACAAGAGAATGGAAGGTTATTCTTGAATAATTCTTGCACCCAGTCAAAAGGTACTGAACACTTATTATGTGAAGCCTCTTGCAGTCTTATTTCTCATTCCATTTCAAGGGAGAGTTCAAGAGCAGGGCTCACATGCTCCATCTATCTCTCACCCAGCCTTTACTGCAGGGAGAGAAAACCAGGAGATTCTCCAAGGCCACAATTCAAAATGTGGCATTTCACTGGACAGTAGGAAAAGTTCTAGCATAGGCTTCCATTTCTCTGGTGCCTCTCAATGTAACACACGAGAAGTGGAACCTGGTACAAAAAATGCCGTGTGGAGTGTTCTTGTGCGGTTACCTAACAATGACACTCTGGAGAGATTCACGCCTTGAACTGCAGTTGTACCGTTGGAGAACAACATGAGTGAGCAGACTCACTGCCTGATGCACACCTGCCACTTCTGTTTTTATTCAAGCAACCCACAATTGGCTCCTCAGAAGGTTGCTCTGAGCAGCACATGTACCTGGATCAACTGAGGAGTTAACCCAACAACTTAATTGCTCACTCAATAACAAATCACCCTCTTACCTGCTCCTCTCCAACTGCTATGTCCAGAAAGAGTCCAAGAGGTTACCTACAACCCAATGATCCTTCAACCTCTTCAGCATAAATTTAAGAGCAGCAGCCAAACTGTCCCCTTGGTCAATACAAGCAGAACTGTATTAAGCTAAAATAATTTGAAGAGCTAAATTTACTAATTCTGTAACAATATTTACTTGCCTACACAGAAACGTAATGATCTTAAAATGAGAGTTGCCATAGAAATTGCCTGATTTCCAAAGAAGTTCCACAACATGCAGGGATCCAAGAGGCTGCTGACAATTCCACTCCTCCTTTTGTTCTTTACAAAGCTAGGTAACATTGAGAGAATACATGAACAAAAGAAATTGGCATTAAATGTAGTGTGTTGAACAAATTTCCTCTAAAAAGCACAATGTTCATACTCTGCCCTCAAGTTCTCTAAGAATACGCAGCACTGTGTACCAATTTCTTACTTATACTTTAGATCTGTTTGACAGAAGGCAAATCGCAAGACGTTTTGACTTCAACTCCCAGATACCTCTGCAAGCACAGCTAACCATCAGGAATGCATGGAGCTGAGGTCCAAAATATCAGGAGGTCATATAACAGTACAGTCACAATAACTGGTAAATTCAGCCTGGATTTTCATATAAGCAAATTATTTTTTCCTGATGTCTACAAAAGCTCGTTGGTATTTTTCTTAAAGTACAGAGAAATCTAAAAATACAACACAGTTCGGGGGGTGGGGGGAAATCATACTGCGAAGCAGCAAAACTGATGATGATCCAGAAACAGTGGCGAATCAAGAAGAATGTGCATTGAATGCGCCTTCTTTGTATCCAGAGTAAGTCACACTGAACTTACCTTGGGAAACTGTTTTACTGGAATTAATACTTTCTGTCCCAGTTTCATATTTTTGTTAATCACTACATCAATATACTTTTCTTCTTCTTTGCCTTCCCCTTTTTGGAATTTATCGATTTCTGTAACAAAACATAGAGAATTTGTTTAAGGCATCAGTTTTCCAAAAGCATTTTGAAAAACACAATTTGCATTGACAGAACGGTGGGAAGTTGTTTCATTAAGGCACTTCGGAACGTCTTTTAGGAAAGCTCCTTAATATTAGGACAATTCGTACTTACAAGCCCAGCGATGTCTAGATTACATGCAGCCCTCATAGCAGTTACTGTTATTTTTATCCTCCACCCAGTTTTTACAAGCTTGTAAGTAGGGAAAGGGGATCAAAAAGTACTGCCAGGAAGAACAGATCTCTCTCTCAAATGGATCTGCATAAATAATAGTTTTATAACTCTGCCTTATTTGGTGCATCACAAGCAGAATATATAGTTTGGCCATTTTATCGATTTAATGATAGTGTAGAATTACCTCAAAGCATTATAACCGTCTAACAGAATTCAGAATTCATGCACTCTAGAAAGTGACCTATCATGAATTTATTTGTCCACATTCACCATCCAAATTTGTGATTAGAGGGAGTGATTCCTTGGATCCAACAAAAGGGAAGCTTCCATTACAGGAAGACAATGTTTACATTAAGCCCAATTAAAAAAAAAAAAAAGCCTCAAGTAGTGAATGTTATCTGCTTAAATTACATGCAATGCAAAGCACTTCCTTTTGTTTGCTTTTTAACTGCTCCTGGACCACAATTACATATTGCCAGATGATATTCAGTGTTTCATGCACACTGAACAAGGAAAAGAAATCCACATGTTCTAAAGTTAAGTCTTCCAAATTAGAACTAGAAGGATCAATTCCTTTCTTTCTCAAGTCCTATGCAACTCTTCAATTATTCACAAATAGATTTTTCACTCATTTATCAAGACCTAAACTTGAGCACAGTACTGCTAAGAACCTCATCAACGACACTGATACAATGAATATTCATTACCACAGAAAGTATATTTAGCCATCATTTGTTCCGCTTTCCCCCACCTCTTCATGAAATTCAAAAATGCCTCTTTTTAGGCTTTGATATCTTACCTAGAACACACAATGCTGCTTGTGAAAAGGGCACACTTAAAATAAATCATTCTGCACCCGTGGAGATAGGTTCACAATACATACAACTTCTACGGCACATTGCCATGTTCAAAGCATTAGACGAGCATTAGCTCAGTAATCCTTGTAACAAGTCGGCAAGACAGATGGGTATTATCACCCCCCCACAAAAGACTGGGGTTGAGCCCCTGCACTAAGAAAGGATGGATGCCCTTTACTGAGGCCACTAAAGTACAGACCTGAAAGGCTCACACATATATGACATTTCCTCCCCAATCAGTTGTGGGGGGGGAGGTGCCCACATAGATTTTATTGGCCTCCTAACGAGCCCAGCATTTAATCATCAAACTAGTGGCCAGACTGCCCCCCTGAAATTAACTCCCACTGCCATTTCTTGCAATTGCCAATACAACTATATTTGCCAAACAGCCACGGTTTGGAAAGAAGAGTAAAAATTGCCATGAACGATAAAGCGAGCAAAAGCGTGGGTGCCTCTGTTCAGTTCATTATCTAGCTATTTTTTGTGGTTGTTGCAAGCATTGTTTCTCAAAATGATTCCAATTCTTAAAAGTTAATGATCAAGCAAATTCAATTGCTTCCGTGCAACTTGAAACAGTCCCTAACTGTGAAGACAAGCATATTTATTTGCTAGGCTAAAGATTTATCCTGCCTTGATGTGAATTCTGGGATCAGCTCTTCCTGTTCTTGAGAAGAGGTTGTTCCCAGCCACTTTTATAGTAGGTAACCAAGCACCTTCTAGTCTTGCACAGATTATGGCCCACCTGTATTCAGAAACTCTGTTAAGACCATGGGGAATGTGTGTCTAGACGTTAATGTGGTGGGTTGACAAGAACTGAAATGGAAAAGACCTTTTTATTCAAATGTTATTTTAATTGTTAATATTATTTATTCATTTTATTCTTTTGGCCAGGGCGACTTAATTTATATTGTTAATTTATATTATTCTGTGTTGAAGTTTATTTATGGTTGTGAGCCGCCCCAAGGCTTCGGCGAATGGGGCGGCATAGAAGTCTCCTAAATAAAATAAATAAAAAGTGCTTCTTCCACCTTTAAAAACACACAACCAAGACCTGCCTTGCACCCTTTTGGCCGCTGTGTGGACCTTTATTTGTGGCAGGGGTATTTTACTCTTATTTTACTCTTATTTCCAAACCATGGATCCTTGGCAATTCCAAGAACTGGTAGTGTGAGTTCCATTCTAGAGCTCAAAAGTGGACTTAAGCAGACACAGACTGCCAAGAAGAAATGTATGTTTTTTTAACACAGTTGGCTTTGGGTCCAAACACATGCTGACCAATTGTAAAACCCAAGACACATGGACAAAACGTTGCACCGCTGGTGCACAAGCATCCAAGTGCTTCATTCCATCTGCACTTGGTCAAGAAGTGCAGTTCAGAGATTTCAGTCACATTGTTGACCCCAGCAGGAAAAAAAGCTGGGTTCATATGGGACAAGTGTTTTGAATTCAGCAGGCCCAATATCACATCAGCAATGCATCATTTCCTCCCCAAAGGAACCCAAGAGCTGACGAAGACGGCCAATCACTTACTCTATGCAGCACCAGCAAAAAGTTTGTTGTTTTACTGTGTTCTGTGTCTTAGGATAGGTGACAAGAGAAGGGATTGCTCTGCTAACTATCAGCTGACATGAGGAAATACTGGAGGAGCTGGTCCTGTTTGAAGACTCTGCCTGATACCAGGACAAAAACCAACGCTACTAACACTGACGTTTCAAACTGCCCCCACGGTTTTTGTGAAGAGATGCTGCATGTTAACAGGTGGACAGACTAACTTTTGATGGAACTTCCCCACTGCTCCGTCTCTTTCCTGCAGATTTAGCAGCACAAGATGCGACTACAGGGACAGCTTTTTTTATGAATTTAAGGTAGATGGCGCCTGAATTCTAAAAAAGAAGAAAAGTGAACACAATAAGCCTCATGCGTGACCCAAGGTTTGCAAGCTGCCCACACTTACTCTGACTGAAGAGCCCAGAGACGTGGGCTGAGTTCACACACTGGCTGAATGTGGGTGGTTAAACCACAGGTGGCTGGTTGCATAAACTCAGCCATGCTAACTAACCATTAGCTTGTTAACTATGAACATCCCATGAAAAGAACATGCGGATTCATTTATGTGTGGCTAACACAGTGTGTTGATGCTGCTGGGTTCACAGTTCGACAACAACCTACATTCAATCCAAACTTCGGTCTGGAATGTCATGGTATGTGAACTCAAGCCATAGTTCAAGTTCTCATTACCAGAAAGTTAAGTGCTCCTATTCTAATTCATTTTAAGGAACTATAATTCCCAGATGTTATCAAAATACCTCTGGAGGACTGTTTCAAGTATACAGCATGCTAAATTAATTGGGGATAACCAAGCCAGACCAATAAGGAAATCCAATCACATTTCCAAGGTCGAATGAGTAGGAGGATTTGTCTCCCCTTAATCCATAGATTACATTCTGTACTACTTGTAGGCTTTGTGTGCTGATGTAGTCTCCTAGCTCAGAAATAATAGATGAACATGTGATTAAGGTTTTTGATAATGCTAAGGATTAAAATCCCATGTTCCCAGACCATGGACACAATGCTTATAGAAGCCCAGAAATGCATGTCAGTGGAGGAATTATTGTATTTTATTCAGAGCACAGTAGGCTAAGCAAGGATTGTTTCCCACTGAACCCACATGACAGACCACAATATCGCTGAGTGCATTAGATAAAGTAGACTTATTTCAGTTTAATCTCAAAGAATTAATCTTTCTGTGAGAGGACCATTATTGTCAGCTATATTGCTGCATGCAACAAAACTTTAGGCCATATGTAAGTGATGCTCTTTAAGATTTTATCCCCCTACCACCCACTATAGTTATTTTTATCAATATCCAAGGCTAGCCAGAAAATTTAAAGTCCAATAGCACTGCTGTGCAAGTTACAAGTCTTTATACGGTTAGCTTTATCAAGAATACATCTTGCACAGAACAAAGCCCTGCATTTGAAATACTGTAGAGTAATTATCCACAACAGCAAACATTTTGCGGCTCTTCTCAAATACAAAAAGAAAATGTTAAAGGTTGTCTCTTAATCTTGAGAGAATGCTGTCCCAAGGAACAATTCAAGTTTTGCTTAGAACATTAACTGTGCTATTTTCAAAGTCATTATCAAAAAATAAACTTTTAGGATCATTAAATCATAAAAGAATACATTAATTGTAAACTTGGCATGCTAGGTTCTACCCACAAGCTAGCTCCAAGAACTATAACTCAGGATGACAGCAGAAAGCCATACCTGATAGAAAAAAAAAAGTTTTATACATCTCCCCTGTAAAAAAATGGTAATTGATGGCCCTTTACTCAACGAGATTCAAAGAGCTGTTTCAGAATTATTTAAGGTTTGCACAAATCCAGTGGTTTCTGAACACTCTAATCTGTTTCAGAGTGTTTGGTTTGAAGTGGGAGACTTTTAGGAAGGGGGTAGAATAAGTCTTCACCAAGTCAGTGGGCTCCTGGACCTAAGTTTCATGGGTCTATGGATTGTGGCCCCTGTGTCTGCAGAAGCAGGAATCAGCTTCATGTCTGGTGCCTTGCGTGAAAACTGACTGAACTGTTAAGTCAATTTGAACCTTGCAATCTAGAACTGCAGAGTCTCTCGGATGCAATTCAGCATCCTGATTATGGCAGAGTCATCTATTAAGTTCCTCCACACAGCTGTGAAAGTGGCTATACGAATCTGGTTCTTTCATGGTCTCTTACTGACACAGCCTATGTGGGCTTGACTTCCACAAACACAGAATCATAAAATAGTAGCGACCGAAGGAACCATCAAATCCAACCCCCTGCTGTTACACCTTTCCACTCAGACGAAATGTCCAGGTTCACCTTGGATATCTCTAGTGTGGGAGACCCACCACCTGTCTAGGTAACTGGTTCCACTGTCATATTGC